GCCTTCTTGCGCGTGGATAGTTTGTTGGACGGCACGCGGGCTCTGACCTGTTCGCTTGTATTGGCAATGTTCAATTGTGTAATTCAAGACGACTAATGTTTTAATAAGAAGCTGATTTTTACGCAAGCTTCGGTTGCATTCGCATATGGGACATCCAAGGCTGAATATCTTTAAAGCAGCTTGGTCAGCACCGCAGCCATCCGTCTACTTCACACAAGAGAATCGCGAATCGGGACCAACCGAAGTGATCTACTACGAAGTGCTTGAAGAGTACAGACTATCATGTATTTGAGCAGAGGTGGCAAAGGAATATAGTCCTGACGGGCGCCGGAGGTGTCAGAAGTGTAGTCAGTCTAATCGTCAGTCGGACGGATTCCCGCTCTGGTTTCGCGGTAGGTGGCGTAAATGATGCGAAACAACTTTACTGACATACTATCCTGCCGAATGATGGACCACAAAAAAAACCGATGAATAAAGCAGAATGAAAAGGCAAAATTCGTGAAACAAAGGAGTGAACGGTAACGGCGTACGACGGCTGCGGCGAACGCCGTAGCATAAGTCAAGATTTGGTAGTGAAGAACTTATTTGGCATTAAATTTCATGGGCTTTGTGCATGTTGATTTCCCACTCATCTACACACGAGGGAAGCGCAGTTGTGACTTGGGCTTGAATTCCTTCACAGAAAAGCAGACTTGCGATTCATTCACGTCAACCTTCCCATGTCCGCCGCTCTCCGATGACAAGAAGAAGCCACGACGGTCAGCAATGGATGTCTATACGCACTGCATGACTTCTGATACGTGAAATTACTGAAGTTCCCCAACAATTATAAAGCAAACATAAGTGAATCGTGGGCATTCTTACTTACTGTCATAAAGACTCCGACAAATTGCACCCAACGGACGTCTTATGAGCGATGTCTAACACCACTGATTGCTGCTAGGTGTGACCGTGTGCGACCGAATAGGATAATGAGCATTTTTCAAAGACACTGCTTATCGGCATTTTCCGATCCCAATGCGTTAAGTTTAAGGGCACGACCCAATCATATGGAGCTGGATATGAGTCCACAGACCGACTATTCTAACAGCGGCCACTTATAGAATTCCGTCATGAATAACAGCAAAGGTGGTCATCAATTTTACGACTCAAATGTAGTGTTTGACTAAGTCCACCGTGATACTCTGCGGGAGATAAAGGAACTAGACGGCGGACTGGCGACACAAATGTTGCGACATTACTGTTACTTTACGCATGTCTATACCCTAGCAATTCGACTGGACGTTGGAGAACGCAAATTGTTATTCAGTTTCGAGTTGCGAGTTTTTCCGATCTATAAATGCTGAAACCTGTGCGGAAGAGATTAGTGTAAGTCAGTTTCCGGAATTATTTCTTGTGAGCCAGCTTTCGAGGGAAGTATACAGAATTTGTCCCAAACTCAAACTATATGAGAATGGGTATACTATTCGTCGCCTACTCTGGGAGTTCAATACTGAATGAAACGCCATCCCTCCACTGAGAGCGACGATGAGGCAGTCAAGTTAAACATGAAATTGATAATGTGTAACAGGATGACAAGGTCGTCTACGGAACTCCGACCTTCGGTCTGCATTAAGGGATAAGACAGTCGCTGGAGTTGACCATGTCCAATGCCACAGACAATCGGGCATTGGTAGACATCGAAGGGGGGCCTCATCGGTTTTTAGCTAAACCAGGTGTACTTGGATACGTATTCATTTTCAGATTAAGTTATTCCATGGCCGCTTACCGTGCCGCTGTTTGCTTAGTCCACACAAATATCAAACGTTTGGGGAGATGCGCTAATCATACAGCAGCCAGGCTCAAGGGCAAAATTCCGTCTTCAATAAACAAAAAACTCGAAGAGTAAATGCAGCCTAAACACTGACAGACAAGATGACGAGCAATCACCAGAAAAACAACACAATACGAGCAAAGCAGAGATACATACTG